TATACATGTGTGATGGGGAGGTCTGGAATATAGAAAAGTGTCACCTGCAGGCAAACAAGCGTTAACAACCAGTATACATGTGTGACGGGGAGGCAGGGAATATAGAAAGGGTATGACCTGCAACGACGCAAGCAACCATTAACAAGGTGGTCTCAGTAGATATCTGTGATGGGGAGGCAGTGTCAACTGCTAAGAAGCAAGCAAGCACCAGTATACATGTGGAAAAAATAACAGCCATTCATCTCAGGGCAATGCACGTGGTGGGCATTTGTGCCTCTACTCGTGATGAACTGACAAATTTGTCTGAGCAAGCTACACACCCACACCCCCACCCACACGCACACCTCCAGCTATTGTAGCTGGGTCAGTGAGTCAAGCTCAGCCTGCGAGTTTGATTGCAGTTTTTAAACGTGCGCATGATGCGAAAATGTCGACATAACACCACTTTGTCACAAACCATTCTTCTAGAGCATGCTATGGTAACGATGCAATGCAATGAGACGTAACGTGACCTAACGCGCCATAACATAACATAACATAACCCTAACATAACGCAAACATGACGTAACCTAACCTAACGTAATGTAACGCATTGCAACGTGACGTAACGCGACGCGATGCGACACTCACGCGATCGAAGTCGGTCTTGGACGCTGCGTAGTTTCGCGCGACGCAGACGACGATGTGGCGTCCGTAGCGATCGACGCCGCACTGGTAGAGGAAGTGCTGTGCCTCGAGGCTTGAGTAATCCTCCATCCGCGCGCGCCTCAGCAGACGCTCGTACCTACGACGACAACAACAATGACAACAATGATGATGACGACGACGGCAATGATGACGATGGAGTAATCCTCCATCCGCGCTCGCCTGAGCAGACGCTCATACCTGTGATGACGACGACGACGACAACAACAATGACGACGACGATGGGGACAATGACGGCAACGGAGACAACAATGATGACTACGATGACGATGAAGATGACAATGACAGCAATGATGACGACGGAGTAATCCTCCATCTGTGCTCGCCTGAGCAGACGCTCTTACCTACGCGACAACGGAGACAGCAAAGATGACTACGATGGCAATGACGATGATGGTGACGACGACGGAGTTATCAGAAAGACCGCGCGCTCGCTACCTTATCTGCTGCTCTGCTCCCCGTCGCCACGGCAACCGCGCGCTCGCTATCTTATCTGCTGCTCGCCTCCCCCAGTCGCCGCGGCAACCACGCGCTCGCTACCTTATCTGCTGCTCTGCTCCCCGTCGCCGTGGCGACCGCCCGCTCGCTACCTTATCTGCTGCTCTGCCCCCCCGTCGCCGCGGCAACCACGCGCTTACTACGTTATCTGCTGCTCTGCTCCCCGTNAGGTGGTCTCAGTAGATATCTGTGATGGGGAGGCAGTGTCAACTGCTAAGAAGCAAGCAAGCACTATCAACCAGTATACATGTGGAAAAAATTACAGCCATTCATCTCAGGGCAATGCAAGTGGTGGGCATTTGTGCATCTACTCGTGATGAACTGACAAATTTGTCTGAGCAAGCTACCCACCCACACCCCCACCCACACGCACACCTCCAGATATTGTAGCTGGGTCAGTGAGGCAAGCTCAGCCTGCGAGTTTGATTGCAGTTTTTAAACGTGCGCATGATGCGAAAATGTTGACATAACACCACTTTGTCACAAAGCATTCTTTTAGAGCATGCTATGGTAACGATGCAATGCAATGAGACGTAACGTGACCTAACACGCCATAACATAACATAACATAACCCTAACATAACGCAAACATGACGTAACCTAACCTAACGTATCGCATTGCAACGCGACGTAACGCGACGCGACGCGACACTCACGCGATCGAAGTCGGTCTTGGACGCTGCGTAGTTTCGCGCGACGCAGACGACGATGTGGCGTCCGTAGCGATCGACGCCGCACTGGTAGAGGAAGTGCTGTGCCTCGAGGCTTGAGTAATCCTCCATCCGCGCGCGCCTCAGCAGACGCTCGTACCTACGACGACAACAACGATGACAACAATGATGACGACGACGACGATGAAGATGACAATGACGGCAACGATGACGACGGAGTTATCCTCCATCCGCGCTCGCCTGAGCAGACGCTCGTACCTACGACGACGACGACGACGACGATGATGACAATGACGACAGCAATGATGACAATGATGACAATGACGACAACGGAGACAGCAATGATGACAATGACTATGGCAATGACGATGATGGTGACGACGACGACGACGGAGTTATCAGAAACGAATTTTTTTGCAGATTTCAGGGGTGCCCAAGGTAGTATTAAGAGTTAGAAGTAGGAGTAGAGTTATTGTTAGGGTTGAGGTTGGGGTTAGGGTTAAGGTTGGGTTTAGGGCTAGACACAAAACTAAAAGGTTCAAAGGTGTGAGTCGCCATGAATTTAAGCAGACTTTAGGGGGTGCCCAAGGCAAATGCGAGTAGGAGTAGGAATAAGGCAGCAGAGACAGCTCATAGTCATTGTTGTGGACATCGTCTACGTTATCTGCTGCTCTGGCCCCCGTCACCGTGGCGACCGCTACCTTATCTGCTGCTCTGCCCCCCGTCACCGTGGCGACCGCTACCTTATCTGCTGCTCTGCCCACACGTCGGCGGCATCTGACTGGTGACGGAGGCTCTGCCGTCGCACGCGGTCGTGGTCGCCGCGCATCTTTGCGAAGGACGTCTCGCCGATGCTGACGGAGCATTGCAGCAGCTCCCGGTAATCCGCATCATCGTCGTCGTCTGCGTCGTCCGGGTCCGCCTCCTCGCCCACGTCTGTAACGTACACGCACAGAAATACTATTATAAATACTACAACAACTATTATAGAACCACAGCCTCCTCGCCCACGTCTGTAACGTACACGCAGAGAAATACTATTATAAATACTACAACAACTATTATAGAACCACAGCCTCCTCGCCCGCGTCTGCAGCACAGAACAAATGTGCTCACAACATATTGTAACATATAAACACGAATACCATAATTATAATGCTAACAAGAGTAATCGGAGATAGCAAACCTCCGCCACAGCGTAACAGTCCTCCCCCC